AAGAAGAGCATCGGAGTATAGACAGCGGCTCGCAGAGACAGGAGCTAACAAGCTCCAAGCGTCAATCAAGGTGGTCAAGCGTGCCGGAGATCGCGTGCAATCAAGCGCGTTGCTCTCGACTCGGCAAACGCACGCGTCAGCAGGCAGCGGAGAGCGGCAGACGCTGGGACGGCAGCGCGCACCGATGCGGCGGACGGCGGAGGGCGGCGGGAGAAGGGATTGGAGGAGCCATCAGGCGACGGAGAAGGGCCCGGGCTGACGGCTAGGACCGTGGCAACCATCGGGCCTGGGCTCGGCTGGGGATACTAGGCAGGGGGATGCTAGGCAAGAGTAAAGCCTGAACAGCGGATAGGGATGAACGGAGGTTAGCCCCGAACACGATGAGCCGAACAAGGCTCTCATGTTTCGTCAGCGCCTTAAGTTAGACCCGACAGCCTACCTGGTGGAGAAGGTGGAGCGCATGAAGAATAGCAGCAGCAGCAGCAGCAGCAGCGCGAACGCGAGCAGCAGGAGCTGCAGCAAGCTTAACAGTCGACTCTAAAGCAGACCCCCCTGAGGCCTACCTGGTGGACGAAGGTGGAGTGCATGAAGAAGAGCAGCAGCAGCAGCGCGCACGCGAGCAGCAGGAGCAGGTACTCGAGCGCCTTGCGCAGGTGCGGCGTGAGCCCGTGCAGGCAATACGCGCAGATGCGCGCGCGCAGACAGCGGAGAGCGGAACCCGGCCGCCGCCGTCTCTCCGCTCGCCGGCTTCTACGATTGGCTGAGGGCATTTTTATAACGAAGACGGAGGCGGCGGCGTAGCTGTACTAGGCCTGTGGAAATCGCGCTCGTATATACCGGATGCTGCTGAACGAAATCGATGCAAGAGCGTGTGAGCTACAAACATGCTACACGACGCAGAGGGACGGCGACTATACGAACTAATAGCACGAAAAACCGAATGGGGAATTGCTGGTCGGTGCGGGAAACTCCTAAAGTTCGTATTCATGAGCCAAAGTCTCGGCTCCAGTATAGACTGGCGAGCAGTCTGCGCCAGATACATTAAAGTACAACAATCCAACCATGAGAGGTATCAGTTCACTAATTAGGTCTGTTGACCAGGGGAAAAAAAAGAGTGCGTCGCGCTCACAGATAGAACCATGACGGCGTAACCAGAGTCTCTTGGTCGAGATAGGTTTCTTTCAGTCGAGACTCGAGACTGGTACATTTTGGTGGTCTTCCCATCACTGGTGCCACAGAAAATACTTCGGCCTTTCGTAAATCAGGGGTGGGTGGGGGGGGGGGGGTGTGTGGGCGAGGGGGAGGGGGGGAGAGGGGGGTGCGCTGATCCGCACATCGGCCCTGGGGGAGGTTTCTCCGCGTCGGGGGAAACGGCGCCGCTACTTGTTCCCCCCCAACTGCTTCAGAGTGGCGGCACGTGAACAGCTATGCACGGGCGGATAGGAAAGGCTGGGCTGAATTGTCCCCTGAGCGTTGATCCGTTCCTGGTTCTCGAATCTGGAGGTTGCGGTCAGTTTGATTTGAACCGACAGCGGGGATTCCGATGTGAACATTGCACGGATTTGTCGACTAGATTGGGATGATGTTGGAATTCGTCTGACCGCTGTCAGCAGATTGCAGGGAAGGGATGTGAGGGAAAACCAGGCACAGGGAATGCCAGAATTCATGGTCAGGAGGTTTGGGACAACTCCCGCCATAATGGATTCTGGTTTGGTTGTAGTTGATGACTGTCAGCGCGTTTTTAATGGGTTGCAAAGCGATTCATGACGGTGATAGAACATTATGAAAAGATTTATTGCAGTTGAGGGTCAACTTTGTGTCTGCGAACCTGGAAAGCAGGTTCATAAAGGTTGGTTGGGCAGAGGGTTGGAGAGTGATGGAGGCTTGACTGGGAACCACTGTGATTTGTCTTGAATTATTATGCGCCAGCTCCAAAGTGAAGGATTCCCTTGAATTATTAACCTATGGCATTTATATGCTATGACAAGCTGACTGCGCAACGTTGGGAGATGACCACGTGAGCTTACCCTTGTCATGAAGAAAAAATGGGAACTAAATGTTAACTGGAGAAAGCAGGTATGCTAATTTCACGTCAGAGTTAGAGGCGTCCATTGCGTTTTCAAACGCTTCTATTGAATCAAGGGAAAAAACAAGTAAATTTTCATTACATAAACCCATACGTGCGTTCAACACAGTAAGCTGACACACATGTACAGGGAGCCCATCAGGAAGCAATCTACAGATCAATAGCACGCTTGCCACTGAACTTCACAGCTGCGGGATCCACGTTCTTGCCGATAGAGCGGAGGTTCACGTTCGCGTTGGCACGGCCAGCATTCACCTTCTCGGGGTACACACCGTCCTTGGGGTGAAGGTACTGGACCTCACCGCTGGGGAACACTCGGTAGAATTGGTAGTTGATCTTGAACTTGGTGCGGAGCTGTGTACCGAGGGCGAGGCACTGCTCCTTCCTTGCAAGCTTCAGCAAGTTAGGGCCGGACCTCATGATGGCGGCACCACCGGTGGGCATCTCGAAGATCTGCTCCTTCTTAGACTCCCAGGTGATGACATAGAACTCCTCAACCTGAGCCTTACGGAGAAGGCCACCGGTGCTTCCACCGAAGATCGGGGAGGGAGTGTCAGACTTCAGCTCGGGAGGGGTGAAGCCCTGGGGAGCCTCTGCCGCCATCGTCAAGCGGGAAGAGATGGCGGAGGACGACACCCGGAGGGGCGCGCCAGCGACGAAGCTGCTGCCATTGAGCTTCTTCTGGCTGTTAGCCTTCAGGGAGAAGGCAGCAACGCGCACGGCGGAGGACGACGCAATGGCCGCCATTGTAGCAGTGCGATCGTCTGGCGATAAGGAAAGAGGAAGCAGGGATGGTGTCAACAAGCTGATCAAACAATGCCACCAAAAATGACTACCTTGCTCAGCAGGTCGTGCGACAAGCACCGTGTTTGGAAGGCATCACACACATAGCATCTGCACTTCGCATGGGGAAATCGCAATCCAGCGTACACCAATCAACGAGGGTACACGTGGAATGAACATTGATGCCATTGGTACGCCAGAAGCCCTTCCAACTTTGCCGAGAAGCATACAGATGGGGCCGTGCCCGCTCAGCACCAGATTTGCCACGTCATCCAAGCACTCTAGGATCCTGTCAGCGACCATGCAATGAACATATCGCGCCATTCTCGCAACCTAGCAACATGAGATATTTGCAATAAATTACCGTATGCATGTTTTGACTAGAGATATGATGAAGTTTCTAAGCACAAACAAAGCTTTGTCATATTTTCGTGCAATGAATAGGTGGAATTAAATAATTCCAGCAGTAAAATAATGAATTTTATGAGTCTTATCATATAAATATCGTTATTTATCTAATCAAATACTACGTTAGAGAAAAACTATAGTTGAACTGTTGAAGTGTACTAGACAGAGTTTCCCACCATAAAAAAGTGGTTAATCCAACATTAAAATGTTGAAATTGGGAATTTTGTTTTTTTTGCATGGTTGAAATATGAGACTGATCATCTCGTATGGTTTCACAATTCTTAAAACAAGAGGGCTTTACAGCATTAAAAATGTAGCAGTATTGCGTACGCTGCTCTTCTGCCAAAGCTCCCTCTTTCCCTCCAAATATTGCCCCATGTCCCATCCGCTCGGCTCTGACTCCAAACCAACCAAGCCATGGCCGCCGCTATCTCGAGTCGCTTTGACCCCAGCATTAGGTTCGTCCGCCGCGTCGAATCGCCATTTACGTCAGCCATTCAATTTCGTGTCCCCATTCAGCTCACCGGGACTCCCATCTCCCGTGTCGAGCCTCTCATCAAGGCTCGTGTTTCGTTTTTTTGCGCTATTAGTAACCCGTTAGCTCTTTTGCCGCGAACTGCCGAGCCTTTTTCTGTCAAACGAAAAACCGAGCGGCTTGAGTGCATCGACTCGCGTTTCTTTACTTTTTTATTCCGTGGCGCACCACCCAAGCAGCATTGTCTCTGGAAAACAAACTGGTCGGTGGGCTTTCGTCCAGTGTTGATTGGAATTCCTCCCGCAGGCTCACTCACCCATCCTCACCCATCGCGAGCTCCCTCCACCGCCCATTCCAACTTCTCGCGTTCCGCTTTCTAGCTTTTCGCATATTCCTCTCTCACCTCTAGTTTTTGAAGAAATTAGGCGACGCTAGAGGAATCAGATAAGGCGGTTGCACTAGCTCTCCGCCATGGCTATCGCCATGACTTCCTCGCAATTCGTTCGGTTTTGAATATACGCGGAGGCGTTCTTGCAACGAGCTGCCGTTCGCCGTGACCAAGGCTTGGCATCAATTCGCACTGGCCTTGGAATCGTTAACGTTTCGCCGTCCTTCTCCAGTATTTTCGTCGTTGTCTTGTTTCCTTCCATTCGCCCAAGGTGCAACGCTGATTTGATTGTTCCTGCGATTCTTTTGCCAACTTGAAGATTCTTGCACGACCAGCGAGGGCTGCCCAGCCGTCACTTCCGTCGCAACCGACGTCGCTTCCGTCGCACGCGTGCGTCGCAGGCGTCGCCGTGACGGGCGTGGCGTCGGGCTTCACATGCCATGATCGTTCCGTCGCCTACAATTGTTGCGGCGCCGACGATCCTGTCAAGAACCGCGTTGGTAGTAAGTGGTGATGAATAGTTTCTGGGGGGGTCGAGTAGGCGTCCGCCACATAGCGCGTCTCCAATCCATTTCGTACTGCTCGAGTCATCGCTTTTGCTGCTACTAACGCACGCCCTATGCTGTTTTTGTTTCTGTTTGCGCAACTCCCTATCTGAACGCAATTCCGTGGAAACGCGTGGGCGACAATTGTACGGCTGCTGTCTCTTCGGGAGCGTGGAGCGATTGACCTGATCGCACGCGTGCGCGCCTCTTGACCCCAGCAATACCGCGGTAAGTGGCGGGGACGAGCCAGAGGGGGGGGCAGTAGGCGTCCGCCGCATAGCGCGTCTCGAGTCTGTATCCAGATGCTTTGAGTCAGCTCTTTCCTTGCTGCGACTAACTAACTCTCCCTCGTGTGCTCTCCGCTGTGCTTCTCTTTCCGTGTGTGCCTGCCTGCTGGACTGCTTGAGTTTGGAGGAGCCATGGAGCCAACGCCAACCTCCCCTTCCCAACTCCTCGTGCGACCTGTTGTGGTGTGCGACGGAGATGCGATGGAGTTGCGATGCCTGCAGGCGAACAAAGCTTGACGACTGCTGGACAAGGTTCATTTCAAAGCTCGCCAGAAATTTTATCGCCAACTCATGTTTTCGCCAACTCTTTTTTTCGCCCACTCATTTTGTCGCCAAAATTCCTTTTCGCCAACCAAGTTCCTCGCCCTCACTTCATCTAACAGTTTTCGTCACCCGCCGTTCCATGGTGCCTGCCAATTCCATCCCTTCCACTCGCTTCTATCAGCCCCGAATTTGACACACCCGAAATCGTCGCTCCTCTTCTCTGTGTTTTCTCCCTTCAGGTGCGAGCGACCAACGATCCCTCCGCCCATCACATCGTGTGCGTCTCTATGGCGAGATGGTCGTCCACGCGTTCGTCCGTCCGTCCGTCTGTCCTTCCGTCCGTGCGTTCTTTCGTGGGGCTCGCGTGTCGCATCTCCACGGCGTGCGTCGCGGCGATTCTCGTCGCCGTTAGCCGCTGCTTCGCGAGTCTGCGTTCCGCGTGACACGCGGCTCAGGAGAAGCGACCGCTGCAGCGACCGTTCCGTCCTTCGCGCGACGGGACGACGTGAGATCGAGCTGAGCGTCTCGGCGTGCGTCGTCGCTGTCGCGAGCCGCCTGCGCGCCGCTGATCCCGAGATTCGCGGTGAGTGCACGTCGAAATCGCTTCCCCCGTTCCTTTTCGCATACGGCCTCTCTCCCGCGCGTCCTTCTCCCAAGTACTGACTGCGTGGCCTCTCTCCCGTGCGCGTCGTTGCTGTCGCAGGTGCATGGCGCTCCATGGGCCTCTCCAACACCCTCCATTGCGTCCGCGTCACCACAACTCGTGTCGCCAACCGCCGTCGCAAACTGCCGTCGCGAATTGTCGTCGGGGACTGCCGTCGCGAACAGTCGCGAACTGCTGTTGCGAATCGCCGTCGCGTGCGAAGCGCCATGGCGAACTCCCGTCGCGAATCGCCGTGACGAACTCCCGTCGCGAATCGCCGTCGCGAACTGCCGTCGCGAACAGTCTTCGCGGACTGCCCTCGCGGACTCAAGCTGGCGGTAAGTGCCAAGGGTCTCTGGAGGGGGGGAGGATTGCCGAACAGAGTCGCCGCGCAGGGGCACGAGTCTGCTGCCCTTGATCTGTCCGTTCCTCCGTCCGCTTCCGCTTCTGACCTCCCCTCGTGCCTGTATCTCCATTCGTGTGTGTGTGTGTGTCTCGGTGCACAAGGCGTGCGCATGGCAGGAGGTGCGGCGGGGCGAAGGGGGGCGCGGGCGGAAGGAAGCAGCGCGCAGAAGAGGCAGGCAGTATGCATGGCGGACGGCAGCAGGTACGTGCGAAGGGGTGTCTGCCGGGGGGGCAGGGAGTCATAGGAGTCGCCACGCAGAGGCACGAGTCTTGCTCTTGTTGCTCTGTCCGTGTCTCCGTTGCTGCTGCATCTAACCCCACTCTTGCCTCCGCCTCTCTGCTTGTCTGTCTGCTGCTCTCTGTTCCTCTGGAGAGAGGGAGGGGGGGTCTTCTTCCCACCCCCCTCTCTCTCCTTCCCTCCCCCACCCCCCTCGCCCTCCCCTCCTTTCATTGCAGTGGTTGGGAGCATTGGGTGTGGTGGCAGCACATACTGGCGGCTCTTGGCAGCAGCAGGGGATGGGAGGGGATGGGAGGGGAGGGGATGGGAGTTGAGAGGAGGGGAGAGGAGGGGAGAGGAGGGGAGAGGAGGGGAGAGGAGGGGAGAGGAGGGGAGAGGAGGGGAGAGGAGGGGAGAGGAGGGGAGAGGAGGGGAGAGGAGGGGAGAGGAGGGGAGAGGAGGGGAGAGGAGGGGAGAGGAGGGGAGAGGAGGGGAGAGGAGGGGAGAGGAGGGGAGAGGAGGGGAGAGGAGGGGAGAGGAGGGGAGAGGAGAGGAGGGGAGAGGAGGGGAGAGGAGGGGAGAGGAGGGGAGAGGAGGGGAGAGGAGGGGAGAGGAGGGGAGAGGAGGGGATGCAGACAACCACTCTCAGTGCGGCTTAAAGTTCCAGCTAAGTAACCCTTTTCCCCTGGGCTGAGCCCCGTAAGTACCTGCTCTTTTTGCTGTTCTGTTTTTTGTTTATTTTTTAGGCGCCTCAAAAATAGGCTCCTCACGCATGTGCTTCCATGCTTTCTCCATTGAAATGCGCCACTGATTGGGGCCCGGCTCTCAACCCACTGACCCCCCCTACTGCAGGTAACCCCCCTCAGGTTCAGCCCCCGGTACAAGCCCTACAGCCCCCTCAGGTTGACCCCCTACTGCAGGTTCACCCCTTCAGGTTCCCTTGGGGTCTGTGGCTTGTGGTTGAGCCTCCACCAGTGGCCCCCTCCCTCCTTACCCGCATTGCTAGCACATCTCAATTTCCATGTGCCTTCCACTCTCTACCGGACTTAGCTCCCATTTTCTTTGTGCCTACCTTTCCCCTCCCCTCGCCTATTCCTCCCCCTCCAATACCTCTCCCCCTCCCCATACCCCTCCCGTCCTCCCTCTCCCCCCCTATCCCCCAGCAGGGCCACTGCTGGCGGATCTGCAGGCGCATGTGCATATGCTGCTGTGGTGGCAGAGGCAAGGGTGGGAGCAGGGGCAGCAGGCCAGCTCTTGAGCGGCCTCAAGGCCTCGAGCAAGCAACCAGCTAAGTACTCTCCACTCCCTGCACTGCACCCACCTTTGCCTTTCACACCGTGTTTGCATGCCTTCCACGCCGTGTCTTGAACCAGTTTGTTTCTGTAATCCGTGTATTCCTTCAAAATCGTGCCACTGGTAGCAGTGCAGCGAAAAAGCCACAGACCCCCAGCCTAATTGCATTGCAGGTATTTCAGGTATACCCCCCGGTCAAGCCAAACCCCCCCCCCCCCCCCCCCCCCCCCCCCTCCCCCTCCTCGGTCTGTGGCTTCTAGCTGAAAATCTACCAGTGCTCCCTCCCTTCGCCCTCTTCCGTATGCATCACTTGCACAACTCCGCTCCAATCTGCCTTCCTCTCTCTCCTCCACCTAACTACCTCCTCCTGCCGCTCCCCCTCCCCCCCCCCCCCGTCCTCCTTCACTCCCCCCCCTCATCTCCCTTCCCATCCCCCCAGCAGGGCCTCTGCTGGCGGGTCTGCAAGCGCCTGTGCATTTGCTGCTGCCGCGGGACAGGGAAGCAGGCGAGCACTTGAGTGCCCCCAAGGCCTCGAGCAAGCAATCAGATAAGTACTCCCCACTCCCTGCACCCACCCTGTCCCTTCACAGCATGCCTTGGCCCTGTTTTGTCATTCGTTTTATTCCCTTATAAAACATGCCACTGGTAGCAGTGCAGTGAACAAGCCACAGACCCCCAGCCTTATTACAGGTATTGCAGGTATACCCCCCAGGTCAAGCCAAGCCCCCCCTTGGGACTGTGGCTTCTAGCTGGGACTCTACCAGTGGGCCCCTCCCTCGTCCTCTCCCCTCTGCATTGCTTGCACATGTCATTCCCATCTGCCAACTACCTTCCCTCTCTCCCCCACCTTCCTCACCCTCCTTCCCCCCCCCCCCCATCCCCCTGCACGGCCTCTGCTGGCGGACCTGCAAGTGCCTGTGCAGGGGCTGCTGTTACAGCTGAGAGGGGCGGGGAAGCAGAGAGGGCTGGGGCTGCCACCTGGAAGCACACAAGCAGCCAGAGCAGATAAGTGCACTCACACACCCTCTCTCGCCTCTTGGCCTTCTGTTTCAAGTTTTTGCACCACCCTGACATTCGTTCACACATGCTTTCGCTCCTTATCACTTTGTCTTGAATCAAACCACTTGCAGCAGCCTAGCTCACATGGTGCAGACCCCTCCCCCCCCCATTTTATCCAGGTTATCCCCCCCCCCCCCCCCCCCACCCCCCAAGGTAAAGCCTAACCCTTTACTTCAAGACTTACTATATAACCCCCTTCCTATCACCCTAGGGTCTGCACCATGTGCCGAGCACTGCTTCAGTGGTCCCTCTGGTGCTATCACCCGCCACCCCACCCATGCACACCTCACTCCCGCTTCTAGCCCTTGCTGCTTACTCACTGCTCTACAGTTTTCTCCTTGCAGGTTGAGGGGAGGCGTATGGGGGTCAACACCGCCACTCCCCTGCACCCCTCCCCTGTGGCCGTGCAGGGAGGGAGCAGGGAGCAATGCTGCCGCTGCCATGCACACGGGAAGCTGGGAGGAACGCTGCCATGAGGGAGAGTATCTGGAGTGTGGGGTTGGCCTCTCATGGTAAGCCTCTTCTCACCAACCCCTCCTGCTGCTGCTGCTGCTGCTGCTGGTTATGCCCCTTCACTGTTGCTTCAGCTCTCGCTGGTTTTGACCCCCCTTTTCCTCGCAGCTCTTTGGTTGCACTCACTCATTCCTCCCTGCCTACCACTCTCTCCTAGACCCAACTTCCTCTCCCTCCCCACCTCCCCCCCCCACCCCCTCTCCCTTCCCCTCCCCCTCCTCCCCCCTCCCCCCATCCCCGAGCAGGGCCTCTGCTGTCGGATCTGCAAGCGCCTGAGCAGTGGCTGCTGTGACTGCAGGGGGGGGGAGGGGCGTGAAGTGGGTGCTGTGAATCGCTGAAGGAGTGGCGGGAAGCAGTGAGTGAGGGCTGAAGGTGCCCACTGGGAACAAACAAGCATCCACTGCAGATAAGTGCACTCACACCCTCTCTCTTGCCTTTTGACTGCTTTCACTTGCTTTCCTTGACTTTATGCACCAGTCTGACATGCGCTCACACCTTCCGGTTTTGCTGCCATGCCTTGCGCAAATTAAACCGCTTGCAGCAGCCCAACTCATGTCGGTGCAGACCCCTGCCCCCTCCCCCCCCCCGTTTGTTCCAGGTAATCCCCCCCCTCTCCCCCCCCCAAGGTTAAGCCTACCCGTATAATTCTAATTCTTACTCAATATGCCCATTTCCTATTTCCCTGGGGTCTGCACCATGTGCATAGTGCTGCTCCAGTGGTCCCTCTGCTGCTATCACCGCCACCCCACCCATGCACACCTCTCACCCTTCTACCCCTAGCCGTTTACTCACTGCTCTACAGTTTTATTTTCTCCTTGCCGGTTGAGGGGAGGGGTGCGGGGGTCAGGTCAACACTGCCAATCCCCTGCACCCCTCCCCTGTGGCCGTGCAGGTGCATGCACATGGGAAGCTGGGAGGAATGCTTCCATGAGGGAGAGTATCTGGGGTATCTGGGGTTGGCCTCTCATGGTAAGCCCTATTGACCAGCCCCCCCTACTTCTGCAGATGATGTCTGTTCACTGTCCTTCCAGTTCTAGCATGCATTGCCTTTCGTTTTCTCCCAATGTTAAGTTCAGTGCTAACTGATTTTCTGTCTGCCTCCCCTTCTCCCCCCACCAGATCACTTGGCATTGAAGACTGCAGCAGAAGAAGCAGAGCAGCAGACGGCAGCAGCAGCAGCAGCAGCAGACAGCAGCAGCAGACAGCAGCAGCAGACAGCAGCAGCAGCAGCAGCAGCAGCAGAAGTGGGGTTGGGTGGTTAGCGGGCAGGCTAGGACTAGGGGTGAGCGAGGTACGGTACCAGGTAAGGTATCAGGTATGGTTGCCTCACCCCCCCTGCTTCCTTCCTACAGCATACGTGTCTGAAGCCTAGGAGCAAGGACAGGAGATTGGAGCAAGGGCAGAGGATGGAGCCCACCCTCTTTCACCTCCTCTCCTCTCCCCTTCCTTCCTTTCCCCCAGCAGCATCATACCTCAAGTCAAGGAAGGTGCGGTTTCCACCCTCACCTCCCCTTCCTTGGAGCACGGGCAACAGCATGGTCCCCAGCCCCCCTCTCACCTCCCCTCCTCTCCCTGTCCCCTTCCCCCAGCAGCATCACGGGAGGAGGAGGGGGCGGGAGCATAGGAGAAGCATACAGCCCACTCCCTTAGGGGCAGCACCCTCTGTGGTTCCCGCCTTGTGGATCGGGTGTGGTCAGTGGAAAGTGTGTGGCACGGCAGTCGTTCCTCAAGTACCAACACTGGCGTATCGTATAATGGAACCGGCCAGAGCCGTGCGCGCCGGCTCTGGTTGGGAGTCCCCTCCTACGACGCTTTCGTACGCGGGATTTGAGTCTTGGGCCGCCCGTGCACTTTCCACTGCCACTCTCGCCCCACAAGGCAGAGCAATAGGGGTTGTTGTTTCCCAAGGGGAGTGGGATGTGTGCTGCTCCGAGTGCTGGGAGGGGGGAGGGGAGGGGGTTGGGAGGTGAGCTGGGATGGCAGTGGTGGTAAAAGGGGGCCTGAATTTTCTCAGGTGAGCTGTTTGATGGGCACAGGAGGGCGCGTCCAACCACCGCTGCAAGTTGAGTGAGAGGGAGAGGAGGGAGCTGAAACCAGAAGTGGAAGGTAAAGGAAGGGCGAAGGAGGGCCTCCACATCTACCACTGTAAGTTGAGTGAGAGGGAGAGGAGAAGGGGGGCCGGAAACCCCCTGGATGAGTCAATTGAGGGGGAATGGAGGTGGGCTGCGAGAGTAAGGTGAGAGAGGGAGGGGCTGCAAAGCACCAGTGCAAGTTGAGTGAGAGGGAGAGGAGAAAGGGGGCCTGAAACCCCTGTTGAGTGAGAGGGAGAGGAGAAAGGGGGCTGAGGCCTCCATCCAGGGTGAGCTGGTTGAGGGCTGTTGAGGGGAGCTGAGCCTCCTTGAGTGGGTGACCTCCTTGAGTGGGTGACGTGAGGGGCAAAGGAGGGGAGCCGAAACCCCTTGGGTGAGTGAAGAGAATTGCCAAGGAGTGGGGCTACCCCCCTCGAGGGAGTCAAGTGAGGGGGCAGTGGGAGCCTCATAGTAGTGTGAGGTCAAGGCAGGGGAGGACGGCTGGATCCTCTAGGGTATGGCTAGCGAAGGGCAAGGGGGGGAGAGGGGGGTCGAAACTTGCAGGTTTTGCGAGCATGAGGCAGAGGAAACCCCCTCCTCTGCCTTTGGTTCGCCTTAACCTGGGAGCTATGACCCCCCTCTCTTGCCCCTCAATAGCCTTACCATGGGGTTTGACCCTCCTTCCATGTCTTGCAAAACCATCACTGTAAGTGGCGTGAGAGGGGAGGAGAAGGGGGGCTGAAACCCTCCAAGGTTGGTTGAGTGGGAGGGAGTTGAGTGGGAGGGAGTTGAGTGGGAGGGAGTTGATTCGGGGGGGCTGAAGCCCCCCCGGGTAAGTTGACTGGTGGGCAATGGAGGCGTGTGCAGCCATCACTGTAAGTTGGGTGAGAGGGGAGGAGACGGGGGCTTCAGCTTCCCAAGGTAAGTTGAGTGGGGAGGGGAGAAGAGGGCTGTAGCCACCAGGGAATGTTGAGGGATGGGCAATGGAGGCGTGTGCAACCATCACTGTAAGATGGGTGAGAGGGGAGGCTGGAGCCCCCCAGGGTTGGTTGAGTGGGGAGGGGGGCGTGAGTTGAGCGAGAGTTGGGGGAGAAGGCGGACTGAACCCCTCAGGGTAGATTGAGCGGCAAATTTGGGACGATAAGGTGAGTGAGAGGGGGAGCAGATGGGGATTCTGGAACCCCCCAGGGTTCGTTGAGTGAAGTGTCTTCAACCATCACTGTAAGTGGGATGAGAGGGGAGGAGAAGGGGGGCTGAAACCCCCCAGGGTAAGTTGAGTGGGGAGGGGAGAAGGGGGCTGAAACCCCCCCAGGGTAAATTGAGTGAGAGGGGAGGAGTTGGGGGTTGAAACCCCCCAGGGTAAGTTGAGTGAGAGGGGAGAGAAGGGGGGCGGGCGGAAACCTCTCAGGCTCAGTTGAGTGGGGAGGGGAGAAGGGGGCTGAAGCCCCCCCAGGGGAAGTTGAGTGGTGGGCAATGGAGACGCGTGCAACCGTCACGGAAGTTGGGTTAGAGGGGAGGACAAGGGGGGCGTCAGCCCCCTCAAGGTAAGTTGACTGGGGAGGGGAGAAGGGGGCTGAACCCCCCCCAGAGTTAGTTGAATGGTGGGCAATGGAGGTGTGTGCAAGCATCACTGCAAGTTGGGTGAGAGGGGAGGAGAAGGGGGTCGTCATCCCCCCAAGGCAAGTTGAGGGGAGGGGAGTTGGAACTTCCAGGGTGAGGCTGGCGAGGGGCAGGGGGGGAGAGGGGGGTTGAAACCCTCGGGTTCGGGCGAGCAGGGGGCAGGGGAACCCCCCTCCCCTGCTCTCGGTTCGCCTTAAACCTGGGGCTTCTTCTCGCCTCTCTTGCCTCTCAATTGCCTTACCTTGGGAGTTTCAGCCCCCCTCCCGTGTCCTGCCCTGTGCTTAGGGGTTTCAGCCCCTTCCTTTCCACTAAGCACAGGGCAGGACACGGGAAGGGGCTGAAACCCCTATGGTGAGTGGAAGGGAAGGGGCTGAAACCCCTATGGTGAGTGGAAGGGGAGGGGCTGAGCCTAGAGCTCCACATGATAGGCAGCAAATGATGATGCCCCACGTGCTGCCGGATGCAAAAAGCCCTATCATGCGGGTTGTTGGTCCAATTTTTCCCAAGGTGAGGCAAGAAAGGGGTTTCAAAGGTGAGGCAATGATGGGGAATACAGACCACTCTTCAGAAGCGTACTTTTCGCACAACGTGCATCACTCTTCGCCAACACTCTCGCCAACCAGCTGCTGCGACAACATGCTCTCCCCTCTACACGCGGACCCCTAGTCTTGAAGACGACCTACACACCTGTGTCAGCTCGTCTCGGGCTAGGGGTAGTTTTGAGGCGCCTCAAAACTAGAAAGGGGTTTCAAAGGTGAGGCAATGATGGGGAATACGGACCCCGAGTATCAAGCAACGGTAAGGGAGGAGGGTTCAGACACCAAGTTAAAGTGTGAGGCAAGGAAGGGGGGTTCAGACACCAAGTTAAAGTGTGAGGCAAGGGAGGGGGGTTCAGACACCAAGTAAAACGTTTGAGGCAAGGGAGGGGGGTTCAGAGCAACAGTGTGGGGTAAGGGAGAGCACTTTGACCCCAAACAACAGTGTGGGTTTCCAGACTGTAAGTTGAGTGCGAAGCTTGGGCTTCAACACACACCCCAACTGAAAGTTGGTTTGGGGTCTCAAGCTCAACCCCCTCCAGCCACTCTCATACTTTCACCGCCCGTCACCCATCTCCGCCCGCCACCACCCGCCACCGCCCGCCACCGCCCGTCACCACCTGACTGTAAGTTGAGTGGGAAGGGTGGGCTTCAGAATTCAACTCAGACCCCGACTGTAAGTTGAGTGGAAAGGGTGGGTTAAGCGGGATGGCGAAGTGATCGAGGGGTGGCTGAGGTGGTGCTGCTGGTGAGGGGGTGGAGGCATACCCAAACACACAGCCACACCCTACCACACAGCCACGCCCTAACTCACAGCCACGCACAACCTCACATCCACGCTCAAACACACAGCAACACCCAACCACACATCCACGCTCAAACACACAGCAACACCCAACCACACATCCACGCTCAAACACACAGCAACACCCAACCACACATCCACGCCCAACCACACAGCCACACCCAACCACACATCCACGCCCAACCACACAGCCACACCCAACCACACATCCACGCTCAAACACACTGCAACACCCAACCACACATCCACGCCCAACCACACAGCCACACCCAACCACACATCCACGCCCAACCACACAGCAACACCCAACCACACATCCACGCCCAACCACACAGCCACACCCAACCACACATCCACGCTCAAACACACAGCAACACCCAACCACACATCCACGCTCAAACACACAGCAACACCCAACCACACATCCACGCTCAAACACACAGCAACACCCAACCACACATCCACGCTCAAACACACAGCAACACCCAACCACACATCCACGCTCAAACACACAGCAACACCCAACCACACATCCACGCTCAAACACACAGCAACACCCAACCACACATCCACGCCCAACCACACAGCCACACCCAACCACACATCCACGCCCAACCACACAGCCACACCCAACCACACATCCACGCTCAAACACACTGCAACACCCAACCACACATCCACGCCCAACCACACAGCAACACCCAACCACACATCCACGCTCAAACACACAGCAACACCCAACCACACATCCAAGCCCAACCACACAGCCACACCCAACCACACATCCACGCTCAAACACACAGCAACACCCAACCACACATCCACGCTCAAACACACAGCAACACCCAACCACACATCCACGCTCAAACACACAGCAACACCCAACCACACATCCACGCTCAAACACACAGCAACACCCAACCACACATCCACGCTCAAACACACAGCAACAACCAACCACACATCCACGCCCAACCACACAGCCACACCCAACCACACATCCACGCCCAACCACACAGCCACACCCAACCACACATCCACGCTCAAACACACTGCAACACCCAACCACACATCCACGCCCAACCACACAGCCACACCCAACCACACATCCACGCCCAACCACACAGCAACACCCAACCACACATCCACGCCCAACCACACAGCCACACCCAACCACACATCCACGCTCAAACACACAGCAACACCCAACCACACATCCACGCTCAAACACACAGCAACACCCAACCACACATCCACGCTCAAACACACAGCAACACCCAACCACACATCCACGCTCAAACACACAGCAACACCCAACCACACATCCACGCTCAAACACACAGCAACACCCAACCACACATCCACGCCCAACCACACAGCCACACCCAACCACACATCCACGCCCAACCACACAGCCACACCCAACCACACATCCACGCTCAAACACACTGCAACACCCAACCACACATCCACGCCCAACCACACAGCAACACCCAACCACACATCCACGCTCAAACACACAGCAACACCCAACCACACATCCAAGCCCAACCACACAGCCACACCCAACCACACATCCACGCTCAAACACACAGCAACACCCAACCACACATCCACGCTCAAACACACAGCAACACCCAACCACACATCCACGCTCAAACACACAGCAACACCCAACCACACATCCACGCTCAAACACACAGCAACACCCAACCACACATCCACGCTCAAACACACAGCAACACCCAACCACACATCCACGCCCAACCACACAGCCACACCCAACCACACATCCACGCCCAACCACACAGCCACACCCAACCACACATCCACGCTCAAACACACTGCAACACCCAACCACACATCCACGCCCAACCACACAGCCACACCCAACCACACATCCACGCCCAACCACACAGCAACACCCAACCACACATCCACGCCCAACCACACAGCCACACCCAACCACACATCCACGCTCAAACACACAGCAACACCCAACCACACATCCACGCTCAAACACACAGCAACACCCAACCACACATCCACGCTCAAACACACAGCAACACCCAACCACACATCCACGCTCAAACACACAGCAACACCCAACCACACATCCACGCTCAAACACACAGCAACACCCAACCACACATCCACGCTCAAACACACAGCAACACCCAACCACACATCCACGCCCAACCACACAGCCACACCCAACCACACATCCACGCCCAACCACACAGCCACACCCAACCACACATCCACGCTCAAACACACTGCAACACCCAACCACACATCCACGCCCAACCACACAGCAACACCCAACCACACATCCACGCTCAAACACACAGCAACACCCAACCACACATCCAAGCCCAACCACACAGCCACACCCAACCACACATCCACGCTCAAACACACAGCAACACCCAACCACACATCCACGCTCAAACACACAGCAACACCCAACCACACATCCACGCTCAAACACACAGCAACACCCAACCACACATCCACGCTCAAACACACAGCAACACCCAACCACACATCCACGCTCAAACACACAGCAACAACCAACCACACATCCACGCCCAACCACACAGCCACACCCAACCACACATCCACGCCCAACCACACAGCCACACCCAACCACACATCCACGCTCAAACACACTGCAACACCCAACCACACATCCACGCCCAACCACACAGCCACACCCAACCACACATCCACGCCCAACCACACAGCAACACCCAACCACACATCCACGCCCAACCACACAGCCACACCCAACCACACATCCACGCTCAAACACACAGCAACACCCAACCACACATCCACGCTCAAACACACAGCAACACCCAACCACACATCCACGCTCAAACACACAGCAACACCCAACCACACATCCACGCTCAAACACACAGCAACACCCAACCACACATCCACGCTCAAACACACAGCAACACCCAACCACACATCCACGCCCAACCACACAGCCACACCCAACCACACATCCACGCCCAACCACACAGCCACACCCAACCACACATCCACGCTCAAACACACTGCAACACCCAACCACACATCCACGCCCAACCACACAGCAACACCCAACCACACATCCACGCTCAAACACACAGCAACACCCAACCACACATCCAAGCCCAACCACACAGCCACACCCAACCACACATCCACGCTCAAACACACAGCAACACCCAACCACACATCCACGCTCAAACACACAGCAACACCCAACCACACATCCACGCTCAAACACACAGCAACACCCAACCACACATCCACGCTCAAACACACAGCAACACCCAACCACACATCCACGCTCAAACACACAGCAACACCCAACCACACATCCACGCCCAACCACACAGCCACACCCAACCACACATCCACGCCCAACCACACAGCCACACCCAACCACACATCCACGCTCAAACACACTGCAACACCCAACCACACATCCACGCCCAACCACACAGCCACACCCAACCACACATCCACGCCCAACCACACAGCAACACCCAACCACACATCCACGCCCAACCACACAGCCACACCCAACCACACATCCACGCTCAAACACACAGCAACACCCAACCACACATCCACGCTCAAACACACAGCAACACCCAACCACACATCCACGCTCAAACACACAGCAACACCCAACCACACATCCACGCTCAAACACACAGCAACACCCAACCACACATCCACGCTCAAACACACAGCAACACCCAACCACACATCCACGCCCAACCACACAGCCACACCACCACCACACGCCCACCCAACCACACATCCACGCCCAACCACACAGCCACACCCAACCACACATCCACGCTCAAACACACTGCAACACCCAACCACACATCCACGCTCAAACACACAGCAACACCCAACCACACATCCACGCCCAACCACACAGCCACACCCAACCACACATCCACGCCCAACCACACAGCCACACCCAACCACACATCCACGCTCAAACACACTGCAACACCCAACCACACATCCACGCCCAACCACACAGCCACACCCAACCACACATCCACGCCCAACCACACAGCAACACCCAACCACACATCCACGCCCAACCACACAGCCACACCCAACCACACATCCACGCTCAAACACACAGCAACACCCAACCACACATCCACGCTCAAACACACAGCAACACCCAACCACACATCCACGCTCAAACACACAGCAACACCCAACCACACATCCACGCTCAAACACACAGCAACACCCAACCACACATCCACGCTCAAACACATAGAAACACCCAACCACACATCCACGCTCAAACACACAGCAACACCCAACCACACATCCACGTTCAAACACACAGCAACACCCAACCACACATCCACGCCCAACCACACAGCCACACCCAACCACACATCCACGCCCAACCACACAGCCACACCCAACCACACATCCACGCTCAAACACACTGCAACACCCAACCACACATCCACGCCCAACCACACAGCCACACCCAACCACACATCCACGCCCAACCACACAGCAACACCCAACCACACATCCACGCTCAAACACACAGCAACACCCAACCACACATCCAAGCCCAACCACACAGCCACACCCAACCACACATCCACGCTCAAACACACAGCAACACCCAACCACACATCCACGCTCAAACACACAGCAACACCCAACCACACATCCACGCTCAAACACACAGCAACACCCAACCACACATCCACGCTCAAACACACAGCAACACCCAACCACACATCCACGCTCAAACACACAGCAACACCCAACCACACATCCACGCTCAAACACACAGCAACACCCAACCACACATCCACGCTCAAACACACAGCAACACCCAACCACGCATCCACGCCCAACCACACAGCCACACCCAACCACACATCCACGCCCAACCACACAGCCACACCCAACCACACATCCACGCTCAAACACACTGCAACACCCAACCACACATCCACGCCCAACCACACAGCCACACCCAACCACACATCCACGCCCAACCACACAGCAACACCCAAACACACATCCACGCTCAAACACACAGCAACACCCAACCACACATCCACGCCCAACCACACAGCCACACCCAACCACACATCCACGCTCAAACACACAGCAACACCCAACCACACATCCACGCTCAAACACACAGCAACACCCAACCACACATCCACGCTCAAACACACAGCAACACCCAACCACACATCCACGCTCAAACACACAGCAACACCCAACCACACATCCACGCTCAAACACACAGCCACACCCAACTACACATCCACGCCCAACCACACAGCCACACCCAACCACACATCCACGCCCAACCACACAGCCACACCCAACCACACATCCACGCCCAACCACACTGCAACACCCAACCACACATCCACGCCCAACCACACAGCCACACCCAACCACACATCCACGCCCAACCACACAGCAACACCCAACCACACATCCACGCTCAAACACACAGCAACACCCAACCACACATCCACGCCCAACCACACAGCCACACCCAACCACACATCCACGCTCAAACACACAGCAACACCCAACCACACATCCACGCTCAAACGCACAGCAACACGGAACCAAACATCCACGCTCAAACACACAGCCACCACCAAAGTGAGTGCATGCGTCAATTCCCACTCTGCTTGCTGCCTTGGGATGTCGGAGCCAGCCGAGGGGAGTCTGCTTGCTGCCAGGCGAGGGGAGTCTATTTTTGAGGCGCCTCAAAAGGGATGTCGGATCCAGCCGATGCATGCTGTGTGTATCGATGCTGATGTGGTGCACACCCATTCCAGTCCACCCCTTGCTCAGCACTGAAATTGCGGTGGTCATGGTTTGGGTTGGGTTGGGTTGGGAGGTGCTTGTTGGTGGGAGATTAAGTTGCAGGAGGACATGTGGATGTGGCGAATGCAAAGGCGAACATTGAGGAGAAACCTTTTTATTGAGCTTGAATGGGAAGGGAACCCAGCAATGGTGTAAGAATACCCGTGCTGTCACTTTCACACGTACCATAGAACACTTTTTGGTTGTTTGGATAACGCTTCTTGGGCTGAGAAAAGCCCTTGGGATCTTTTCAGAGACTAAGCCCCACTTGTACAAGATGCTTTAGTGCAGCGGAAGTATTGAGTAGTTGAACCCTTGCACTAGTATGTGAGAGCAAGTGATCAGGGCCCAAAATATCTGGGTAAAATGCCCCGATTACTCAGATTTTCAGGGTACTTTTTCGAGCTAGACTGATTTTTCAGGGTTTGCGATTTTACAACCCTGATTCAAAAAGTGTAGCAAAGGTTCTACCCTTCGAAAACCAGGGTTTGCGACCCTCCAGCCCTGATGAAGCAGGGCAGCAAGGCAACTACCCTTAATGCGCTGTCTGGCCAGCCAAACTCAGCGCCAGATGCGTGCTGGAGACTGTGTGGGCGCTAACTGGCCCTTAGCCGAAACCAAGGCTCGATGCGTGCTGGGGGCTGTGTGAGGGCGCTAACTGGCCCTTAGCCAAAATCAGCGTTCAATGTGTGCTGGGGTGGGGACTGTGTGAGGGAGGGTGCTGATTGGCCCTTAGCCAAATTTCCTCCGAAATTGACTGGAGGAGGTGTGATGGGACCGATTGTACCTTCAAATGTTTCTGCCGATGTGTGCTGGAGGGTCTGTGTGAAACGTTCATTGGCCCTTCACCAAATCTGCCACGCCCCTCCAATCCAATTTCGCCCCCCACGCACAATTCGCTTGAGTCGCAAGTTCGTCAAACGTGTTGCACTCTACATTTCGTCAAGTCAGCAACATAGCCCAAGCTCCTGTCCATCCGAAGTTCAATAACAGTTTTGCTATCGTAGTCAATGGCTTTTAATTGCAATGCAGTGGCAATAAAGAACAGGGTGGTTTTGAATATACCCTGTGTAAACAGTGCTGCAAAAAGTTTACCCTGAAAAATCAGACTACCCTGAGTTAGGTACCCTATGTGACAAGGTGTTTCGGTGGGGCGACCCTGTTTTCAAAGGGCGGCCCAAAACCAATTTTGGGCCCTGCAAGTGATTGATTAAAAGAAACAAACATTCAGTAATATATAGAAAATAAGAAGGTAAAGCGGTTGTGAAATACAGTTAAAGAAACGGTTATCGAGTCGCACAGCGACTCGATGGTCGGTTCGATTACCACCCTTGCAGTTGTAACGGTCAGTCGCAACCTCCGGTTGCGACCCTTCGAGTCTTTCGTCCTTTCGTGTTCTTTCGTCCAACCTCCTCGTGCAACCTCCGTTGACTCGCGTACCCGATACGGCTTTACTCGAGTGTAGTGTTACACTCTCAAAACTGAATGAATAATTAGAGAGAGAGAGTACAGGTGAATATATATATCTACGTATTGTACCCTCTAAGAGATGACCCTATACAGTCTATACAAACATAAGAAATACACATGTTTGACACACCCCCTGGACTGCATAGGGGCAGGTCCTGAACAAGCAGCTCAGGGCGGCACTACTAGTCCAGCCACTGAGACAAGGGCCTAAAGACTAGTCAGGAGGAGTACAGGCAAGGCAAGAACAAGACCAGGGCAGCACTACTAGTCCAGCCACTGGTAGAGGACACAAGTCCAGTCTAAGTACATATAGATATATAGGACAGTACAAGGTCAAGGTCCTAGCAAGTGAGAGGCTACAGGAACTAGACCGAGCTGTACACAGTGTCACTGATGATCGTTAGGCGCAAGCGCCTTCATAAAGATATCAGCTGTGTTGGCACCGGAGGCCAGGTGTACTACGCGAGCCTGGCGGCGCTGCTGTAGCTCGCGCAGGAGGAAGTATTGCAGCTGAATATGTTTCGCTCTGCCCTCGAGTCGAGGCACCTGACACAGGAGGATCATGGCCCTGTTGTCAGCGTACAGGACCGGGGCAGAGCTAGGCCGCTCACCTAGGTTAGTGAGCAAGAACGTCAGCCAGCGGAGTTCCTGTGCCGCCATGGGACCTGCGTAGATCTCGGCCTCACAGCTGGACTGGGCAACAGACGAGGAGCGGGTAGCTCTCCACGAGACGGCACCTGAACCAAGGCTGAAGCAGTAGCCCTGGGAAGACCTGAGTGTCTCAGCGTCGTCCGCCCACGAAGCGTCTGTATGTCCAGTAAGGACCACTGGCATGCGTCCTCCTAGCACTAACCCCATGCCCGATGTACTCGCAAGATAACGCAAAACCCTCTTAGCGGCAGACCAGTGCTGCGGTCGGTGTCTGCCTGTGGCCACAAAGCGAGCCAGGATGCTGAGAGGGTATGCGAGATCAGGGCGAGTGCAAGTCATCAGGTACATGAGGCAACCCACCAGCTCTGCGTAAGGACCACTGGGCTCTACTGACTCCTCAGGAATTGGGGCGGAGAGTCTGTGGGCTAGAGGCAGAGGGGTGGGCTGTGCAGAGGAGAATTGAAGGCCGAACCTCTTAAGGACCTGGCGCACCAAGTGTGACTTAGTCAAGGTGATGGTGCGCGCTGCTCTCTCCCTGGAGATCTGCAAGCCAAGGTAACGGCGCAGTTCTCCAAGCTTAGTGCAAGTGTGTCTCTTCAGCAGCTCTGCCTTCACGGAGGCCAGTGCGTCCCTATCTGCTGTGGCAAAGACCAGATCGTCCACGTACACAAGGATGTAGAACGAAGTCTGGCCAGCACGAACGAAGAGTGAGGGGTCTGCCGAGGACGGAAAGAACTGAAGGTCAGCAAGAGTAGCACGCAGCGTGTCGTGCCACTCACGGGGAGCCTGCCGCAGGCCGTAGACGGGACGCCGCAGGAGCCACTGGGTCCCAGGAGGGAAGGTGCAAGTAAAGCCCTGAGGGCGACGCAGGTAGACCTGCTCGTCTAGGCTGCCCTGAAGGAAGGCAGTGGAGAAGTCGAGGGAGTGAAGCTCGTAGTCACGCTGAGCTGCTAGGTGTAGCGGAACCCGAAGAGTAGTCATCTTCGGGGTCGGAGCGAAGGTCTGGAAGAAGTCCACCCCCTCACGCTGACTGAAACCTCTAGCCATGTATCGCGCGTTGAATACAGGCGGCTCTCCAGGAGGGCGCTTCACCTTGAAGAGCCAGCGGCCATCGACTACGTTCACCCCAGGTGGGGGAATTGCATCGACGAAGGTGCTAGTGGATCTCCCAGATGCCATCTCCTGCTCCATGGCAGCTATCCACTGGGAGGCCCAGGGTCCCGAGACCGCCTCAGCGTAAGTGCGAGGGGTCGAGATGTCAAAAGCGTCAGGGTCACCCTCAGGGACTAGCAGCATGGAACAGAGATGGGGAGCAGCCTCGGATAGGAAAGCAAGCTCGAATTGGCGGTCCTCCAGGACGTGACTGCCGAGGGCAGGTGCACCCCCGACAGACAGAGGACAGGCAGGGTCAGAGACCAGAGCGGTGGCATAGTCAAGGCGGCGGGTAGAGGCGAAGTCAGCGACCGCATCGACAAGAGCGTCAAGACACGAGACCGGAACGGACGGGCCGGTAACGAGAGAGGCAAGGACCCGAGGAACGAGAGGACGGGCGACACGAAGGTAGTCAGACAAAGGGGGGGAAGCAACGACAAGGGAGGACGGAGGAGGGGACGGGAGAAGGGGAGGACGAGACGCGTGGGAACGAAGCAACATAGGGTGAGAGCGCATGACAGAGGAGACATGACGAGCACGGGAGGGACGGCGGGACCAGACGTGAGACGGAGGAGTCAGATCAGGAGACAGAGGAGGGGACACAAGGGGAGAGCGAGGGGGAAGACGAGCCGGGGACGAGTCCGGCGGAGGGAACACCGGGCCGTAGACTGGAAGAGGGGGAGACGGCAGGAGAGGAACAGACGCAGGGTCAGGGGACGGAAGGCCGAGCAGGCGAAGGGCGGACACCGGCGGGGACTGCTGCTGCGGTGGCAAAACGCCGACACCGGGACCACAAGCCGCTCCTCAGGAACCACCGGCAGACTCCACTCCAGCACCCCCAGAAGGAACACGCCCAGGGCCCGAGACCCCTCAGGCACCGGCACCACCCCCAGGGCCACCGGGGCGAGGACCCACTCCAACGCCAGCACCCCCAGAGGCAACGAACGGCTGCTGCGACGGCGGCGGCAGCTACGGGGACGACGGCGGTGACAGCAGAGGCAACGGCGGCTGTTGAGGCGGTGGAGGAGGAGACGCCTGGGGAGGGGCAGACGGCGAGGACTGCACCGCAGGACCACCAGAGTTAGAAGACCCCTCAACCGGGACAACCGACGGGAGAGGAGTGACGTGGGACACACCAGAGGGGGCAGGACAAGGAGGGGGAGGGGGGGGGACAGGGACCACCGGGGAAGGAGTGACCAGGAACAGGGGGGGGGTAACCGGGGGACCGCGGTAGGGGAAGCGACGGTAGAAGGAGACGGACTCGTCAAAGGTGACGTCGCGAGAGTGAAAGAAGCGGTGAGACGGCGGGTGGTAGAAGTGCCAGTCGGACGCGTCAAGGGGAAAACCTAGGAAGACGCAGGGAAGGGTGTGGGCAGTGAGCTTGTCTGTGCCGGAGGCACGGACGTGAGCAAGGCAGCCCCAGACGTGGAACGCAGACGCGTCACCAGGGGACCCGGTCCAAAGATGGGTCGGCGAAACCTACGGCTGCTGGGGGTGCGGCCACAGGTTAGGCTGGTGAGAAGCGTAGGGCACGGCGAACGACCACAGAAAATGGGGTGCACCGGCATGGATCATGGAGGTGCGAGCAACCTCCATGACCAAACCGATGCGGTGCTCAGCGACCTCATTTTGCTGTGGGGAGTCCGACAGGGTGAACGTCTGGGTGATGCCCTTCGCACGACAGAAGCGACCAAGGACACCTGAGGCAAACTCGCCATCACGGTCTGAGTGAAGGCGCAAGACAGGGAGACCTCGGTGGACGCGTGCAGAGACAAGCCAGGGGATGAGAGCGTCAGGCACGTCGGCCTTCCGCTCCAGGGGAAAGACTGTGGTGTAGCGAGTGAAGTCGTCGACAAGCACGAGGAAGTAGCGCTCTCGACTCGGCCCATGGACCGGGGCGGGGCCCCAGACGT